GTTCTGTGCCTGACCACTAGAGGCGCAATTTCGAAATGGAGTGGTAGTTCTGTGCCTGACCACTAGAGGCGCAATTTCAAAATAGAGTGGTAGTTCTGTGCCTGACCACTAGAGGCGCAATTTCTAAATAGAGTGGTAGTTCTGTGTCTGACCACTAGAGGTGCACTGGGGTGTTCCCCTTTGTGGGGGTCCCAGGCAAGTGAGCCTAAGGGGTGGGGTCACTGGTGACCCAGGAGAAACAAATGGCGTCAGGCAGGCCTTCAGGGCTGTGACCTTTAAGTGGTTAGAGTGGTGTTCACTGACTGCACTCGTAACCAAGGAGGTAGCTAGGCGGTTGCCGAAGCTAGATGAGTGACATACACTTTTAATGTATGCACACGCCGCTTGCGGCTAACTTCTGCGTCATGCGCAGTTTAAAACCCCTTAAAAACAATTACTGAAACGAGACCGCTCGCGTTACGGCGACGGATCTAAATAGCGAGTGCACTATATCTCGTCGCAAATGGTGCTTAACCACGGCGGGTCTCAAGCACTGGAGACTCCCAAATTCTAAATAACACACACACTTGGCTCAGCGCAAAGCGGTGTTAAACTTGCTTTCTCTAAAGCAGACACACACATAGGAGTAAGAACCTGATAGGTAGCTAAGCTATCGGTCTTATCTCAGGGAGTCTAAGCGCAACAGAATTCATGTTAGAACCTCGTAACAAGAATTCCTGTTCGCTAATAGAGAGATCTCTGCCAGGATATATAGAAACGGAGAAACTCGTCCGAATCGATCCTGGAAACAACGCGCTGTATCTGAGAATCTCGTCAGATACAGGGTTTAAATTTACTGCAGTTCAAAACGAAATAAAACTAAAATAAAATAACCGAAAATAAAATAAAACAAAAATAACTACTAATAATAGAAATAAAAATAACAATAATAAGCCCGTATAATCCCGCTTAAATGCCTTTGGACTGCCGCGAGTGCAATTGATCCTCAACCTTTTGCAACCTATTCACTGTAGCGCTTATTCAACTGTACGTTCGGTCATAGAAAAGTTTAAATTGTGTGCTCACAAAAAGTTTGAACCTTGTGCCCGCGTTCTACCACCAATAAATGTAGGAATTATTAGCTCAACTAAATTTGTATTCTCCACCAATATGTTTGAAATTGATTAAAGTTTAATTAATTATTGTTTTATAAAATTATTGACTAAGCTTTATGCCAAATGGTTATATCCTTCAACTCGATTTAAGTATCCCCGTGAGTCTGTTAATGTGAGACTTCAATGGGGTTCACTAATTACCAGTATCGCTTATAGTAACCTGGGTTAGAAAGCTCGTCCAGCGAGCTGCGTCACCAGGTAATGTAAACGATCGGTAGCGAAGCTCCTCTCACGGCCGAAGAGAGAGGGTCTCGCGGGATTTTGGGCGAGTTTGAAGTTTCAGAGCATGTAGCAAGATCGCACAGAGGCAGGAACTATTGTGACCACTCAATGAACGGAGGCTGAAGTTATGTAAAAGACATGCATTTATTCCTAACTAATACTACTACTGATATAAAACAAACATTACACCTAACACAAACAACAAACACGAAATAACGGAATAAACAAACAATGTAATTATGAAAATTAATGACCGGACCTTAATGAATAAACTTAAAAGGGAGAAACTGTTCTGCAAGACAAGCAACGTTTGTGGAAACACGACCCTAAAGTCTTATTGCGAGTTAACAGAATAGTTTAGGTTATTAGAGTAAGAGGAAGTTGGTTTACTTGGTTGAAGAGGAAAAGGAGGGGGGGTCTTGGCAGTTGGTTGCAGAGCCTGATGAGCTGATGGGATGCTGGCACTCAGGAAGGCGCGGTGTTTGGAGCCAGGGAGTGGAGCCCTTTTGATTCTCTCTCCTGGTGAAGCCTTGACTTGGTTGCTGTTCAGCTGGGCCTTTACCGGATGGTTTCTTGTGGGCTTTTCTTTGGGCTGATGGTTGTTCTGCTCTGCCCAGCACTCTTGTTCTGAGGTGCCAGGGTTTTATGGTCTAAAGTTCATGAATAGGGATGACCAGGAATTCGACTGCTGGCCCAATGGCTGGCCATCCATTTGGCGGGCTTTCAGAAGGGGGTCTGTATCAGTCCAGTCGGGATTTATGACCTGACTGATTCTCCCTTTATTGATGATTTTCATTAAGCTGGTATAACTTTTGATACATCCACCTTCATGGTAACCACTCACCAGATTTGGAATCCGGAGTGATTTTCCATCAATTTGACACCAAACATGCTATACCAACTTCACAGGTTCACACCTCATACCATAATTAATTGATTAAACAATTAATTATTTTATGTATGTGACTGATTCACATCAGTATGTGATTCAGGCATTGTGGGTTGCACCTCAACAAATGTTACACTTTGTGCAGACATTATATTACATATTCACATTAAAAACAGCACATCTTATCCTTCAATAGGCGTGGCTGTTGGTTTGCGGTAATATCAATATAAGTTGCACATCCGGAAACAACATATTTGCTTGGTGTGGCTTATGCCAATTAATCTTCTCCAAAATGGATAAGGTACCACTTAATTCAGTTCTTTTAATATAGTATGTTAGGACAAAGAAAGCTTGGTAAAGCTCCACCAAGATCAGATAAGCACCACCAAAAGAATGTGGAGGAAGAGGGGGGGGGGTTGTTAAACAAAGTCAGGACACATTGGTTACACTAATTTTCCAGCTTCTTCTGGTATACCATGAGAACATATATACAATGGTAGCTATCCCTATTTATTTATTCAAATTTATATGTGTTCAAGTGTAAAAGGGGAAAATAGGTGATACTCCATGAACATGGTTATGAGGGTGGCACACAAAACACTAAGATTGTCTAAGGACACATACAAACATAACCTATCTGTATATTGAGGCTAGTAGTCGTGACTAAATCAATATATAGGGTATGCAAAAGCCAAACTTAAATGAAACTTTCTTTAGGGTGTTCGTCTGTTGGGTGAGTGATATGTGAGGCAGGATGTATGGGGAGGGGGTTGTGTGCCAAGTCGGGGGACCCCTGTCCATTAGGTCCACTCTGCTTGTCTGTAGGTCCCTAAATCTTTGGGCAATAAAAGTTGGAGTGCTGGCCTCCCTTGTTATCTCTGTGTGTGTGTGTGTGTGTTTATGTGTGTAACCCCCCTTTGGTGCCTCTCGTACCAGTCTCGGCCTTGTCCCAGGCCACCTGGAATTTAAGCCCTGTAATATGTGCATGTGTGATCCTACAATGGTGATTATTTAAAACATTTCACCATACATCTGCATTATTTAGCATTTTTTGTCTTTCAATTTAATCAAATAAAAGGCTGCTTTCCAGTAATATATATTTCCTCTTTGAAGTTTTCCTTAAAATATTGTTAAAATATCGTCTTGTTCTCGTGAACCCAATACCGTGTCTCGTCTCGTGAGCTGAGTATATCGTTGCATGCCTCCTAGGAGCCCAGTTTACTTTTATGTTATGGCCTGATTATAGACCCAGAGAGACACACATGCTAGTGGGCTGTAACACCAGTGCTCTTTCTTTTACACGCCACAGGGGGGCGCATTTCATAGCTTGCACCATAAATGTTGTGACTCACAGCTACTGGTGCTCCAAGGCCCCAGGGCACTGGCCCCACTGGCCCGGTCCATAAACCAGCCAAGACTCTAAGGTGCAATCTTGGAACACCCTCCCCCACGGCGAGCTAAGCACTACTGGGGATCTTTTCTGCCTGCTGTCGATATGCAGCCTCCACACCCAGCCTTAACGCCTGACTTTTAATGTGATAAAAGGCGCCCTCTGTTTGTAGTCATATAAATAACATCTATTAACATCTAGGGTGACGACCTAATCCATGTCAGGGGCGACACTATGAGCTACTCCAGCTTTTACAAACTACTTTAAACCTGAAAGGCTCCTGTACTCAGCTAAATTGTTTGGTTTGTCTTTTACTACTTCTGGTTCGTTTCTTTGTTAAAAAGACCCATCAGGCTGTTTCACATTAACATTAGTGACACATGCATGATTACAGGAGATTGACCAATCAACAGACAGCAAGAACTTAGTGCTTAAGTGAAATCCAGGTCCTTTTAACTGAAATGGTGGTTTACAAACCCTGTCTTTCCTCAAAGTGTGCCCCCAAGCACGGATTAGTTGGTCACCCTATTCACATCCGTTATTATTTGTACCTATTTCCTGAACAATATTGTACTTTCAGGATTTTATGTGTACTGTGTACTTCTCACATTTGTTCATGTATAGATATTTTATTTACTTCTAAAAATGTTTACTTATTAGCACTCTATGTGTCGTCTTTGTTTTCCATTATATGTTTGTATCTGTGCACTTTGCTGCTGTATGCAAGAGAATTTCCTCCTGGGATCAACAAATCATCTTATTTTATACTCAGGGGATGAGAACCACTGCAGTGTCACATTTACTATGATCTGAATCAGCAAGTATTTAAGTATCACCTTTGCCAAAGAAAGTAATTGTTTTCTTCTTTGTCTGAAGATACTGGTTCATTATTAAGCGGCATGGTTTCTTTAAACATGTTAAACTGAAGCTTTAGTCTGAGCATGATGTAATGAGTCCATGAGAATGCATTTATTTGTTATTAAAATAGAAACATCCGTCTCACAAGACAACAATCTATTGTCATGTCATTCTTTAATCGATATATGGCAGTCAACAGGCAAGTCTGTTTTATCTGGCCCTTTGATGAGGATTGAAATTTAAAATGTACTTTGCAATTGAATAACTTTCAATTCCAGCTCACAGGAAGTCAGTTTTTACAGTAATCCTCATCCATTTACCTCAGACCTTATTGATATACAGTAGAATACAGACAAAACTTTTGTTTAAATTCTCAGAGGTGATGGAATTTGTTAAAAATGTATGCATTCATAATAAATATGTTTTCCTCACAGCTTGTATGAGTCTCTGTGCCATTTGACTGAGAGTCTGAGTGTTTTTTACAGTGTTTGTTTAAATGCACATTTACCTCTGATCTGTAGGAAAAGGTCCCTCTCTGAAGACCCATGGGGGGTCCATTGACGCGTCACTCTTCAGGGAAACACAGCTGTGTACAGGGGAGTCTGCTCTCTCCATCAGGACACTGTGGGCAGCGAGAGGAAACAAACCCTCATGGTATAAATATAAAACAGGAAAACAAAAAAAAACTTTTCGCGGATATCTTGGTATCCAATATCTATTCTTGCTCAATTTAAACATGCTGATTTCGAATATGTAAACCATTTGTCTCTATCACCCTCCATTCTCAAGATATCCGCAATCTAAAATTTTCTATTCCAGTTATAATACTTCAACACGTATAAAAATGAAATTTTTACACCCAAATTTTCTTCAGCAGTTATTGCAAAATAAAATATTAAACATAAGCATGAACTCAGCTATAGCTAATGAAATTATATATATGACATACATAATATGATAAACAGCTAATTATGCTGTCAGCAGTTTATAGTCGTGTTTGGGCAAATAATAATTTGACCTGATAGAGCAAAACGGTTTTCAGATTCGAAATCAGCATCAAAGACTGATTCAGAAAAAGTTAATGACATGTAAGATATACACAGCTTGTTTTCCTGTGTAATTCATACAATGGGGACGACATCACACTGCTGTTTAGCTTCTGCTCTGCCTTCATGTACTTTGATATGCTGGGAAGCTCTTGATGTAAACAGGCTACTTTACAGTTAACTTTAATGTGAAATTAATTGTCACCTATAATTTACATTATTGTAAGAAAGGTTTAGAATCATTGTTAAAAGCTACATCATTGGCAAGGTCTTTGACGGCTTATTTCTTGTTTATATATTTATTTGTTTGTTTGTTTAGTTTTATTATGTGGCCATTTTGGATAGGAGGGATGATCTGTTGCTCGCCTCTAGTATAAAAGAACTGGCTAATTGTGGAAGAAAAAGGTGAAGAAAGAAGATGGAGCCCAGTTTACTTTATGTTATGGCCTGACTATAGACCCAGAGAGACAGGCATGCTATTGGGCTGTAACACTATGATCAGAAGGTCGCCGGTTTATGCCCAGCCTCAGCCGAGTAAGCCTCTGGGCCTGTGATCAGAAGGTCAGAACTGTTACCTCTCAGTGCTCTTTCTGTTACACTCCACAGGGGGGCGCATTTCAGAAGCAGCTTCCTCCATTTTTGTGCAGACAAGATGATTCCTGCTGGGCCTCTGTGAACATGAAGGTTAAATAGATACAAACATAAACAATGTCTAGTACTCAGCACTTTTACATCGAATCAGCGCACTGGGTCTCCATTCTGTTACTCTGACACATTTCATGTCCGGCCTGCAGACTGACTTTCTCCACTAGTACTGAGAAAGTTACTGAAAATTTTAGAAGCACCAGCACAAAATTTAGGCTCAACACTTAGATCGAAATGTAATGCAACACATCTTAGCTGTATTACTGATAAATGCTTTGGGAATAAACATACAATTTACAGAAATAACAAAGTGACGTTTTACTTTAAAGGAGAAAGATAAAAAGTGAAGTAGCACTTAAATGGCACCGCCGCTCTATATAAGTGTGTCATACATGTTAATTTATTATTAGTTGTGTCTAAAATCTTACCTTACAATAAAAATATCTTTATTTTTTTTACAAAATCTTATTCGTGTGTCTTGACAGAATGGCGATTCCAGCTTTAAATCACTTTCATTTACAGACAGGAAATGATCCGCTTCGTGTCAAACGCGGAAGCGGTCTGCGCAGAAACGGACACGGACTCAGTGGCACGGCGGACCGTTTTTGGGGATTTTATTCATGTGACTTAAAAATAAACGATAAGAGAAAGGGGACAAGCGACGCCGCCACCTAATTCTGTCATAACACACATTCTGCATTATATTTGTGCATATAAAACGCCTGTTATTTTTTTTTCCTGTTCACTGAATTACAGGGCACCTTTTAATTTCTTAAATTCTCTATTACGAATTAGTTCAAAAGCATCGTGGCACATTTTGCCCTTTGCATAGTGAATCCCAGCTGTTTCTGGTCACATTGTTCATCCAGGGACACGGTGATGTCACTTGGGATCTATGGCGTTATATATCTGTCTCATTGCTGAGCTCATAGACATAGACGGACTTTCACAAGCAACATCTCCACAACATCTCCGCACCGCGCGCTCAGCTCAGCCTGCACGCTCACAGTTTCTTCTCCAACCTCTATACAGAAGGTGACAAGAGACAAGTTGCACAAGGAAACGCGGAAATTATTATGCCTACTGGACGAAACAAGATGTTAAATATGATGACACTTGTGTCAGGTAGAACAGGAATAACTGGACGTGATCACAGTTAAGTTTTAATAAACATGGTGCCTAACAGTGACAGACCTCTGTCGCGATCCCTTTCTCCTCCTCTATCCCATATCCCAACTATGTCACCTTCCAGAACCATTACTGTCACGTTCCGTGCGGGCAAGCGGCGAGGCAAGCAAGCTGAGCCGTGATTACAGGTAGAAGCAGGGGTTTATTGGAAGGGCAACAGATAGAACACGACAACAAACGTCAAACATCAATGACAGAACTGGGGAATACTGACTCAGACGTGGACTAAATACACTAGACAGGCTAAACTGAACAAGCAACAGGTGAGTACAATCAGGAATTAACCCCCTGGGGCCTGAGGCCTTTTTTCCACTTTCGAAGTAGTCTGACATGCCTTGACATTTTAAAATATTTCACCTAT